TATCAGAGCTGTGGTACGTTGCGCTCATCTGGCGCTTGTCTTCTGCCTATGCGGTACATACATGCGGTCTGCTTGGTGAGTGAGGCCGTAGGTGGTGTGTAGTGAGGAGGGCGGAGACAAGGTGTGGCGACCCAGGAGGAGAGGGGAATCGCCAGGAAGGCTACGGTGTGTATATTGGGTGTTCGCAGTGTGATGAGAACTATCTGGTGGTTGATTGATGCTGAGGTGGAACGGCGAGATAATGCTGGTTGTGCCGATGCAGTGACTGGTCATCGCAATCGCCAAATGCTGGTTGTGCCGATGCAGTGACTGGTCATCGCAATCACCATCAGGTCATCTGGTGATAATATTTGTGGTTGGGGGCAGCTATAATGAGGTACGTTGCTCTTAACCTTATCTACCCTCTTCATCACTTCTTACCGCGAGGTTGTGAGTTCCTTCTTGAGAGTCCTCTCATGTGAGGTGTCGTGTGCGCTCAACCTTGAGAGTCAACCCACCGGGAGTAGAGCACGCATGCTTTGCTGCTTTGTCCTTGTCTGCTTGCTGCGCTCATAGAAGGGGTACTGAAGGGTAGGCCAGCCCTATGGGAGAGACGAGTACCGGGCCTCTAGAAATAAACACCGGCTGGGGAAACCATTGGCTGTGATCGTCGTCCTGCCGCGACGTAAAATAATTCCTGATGACACTTGGGGGCGGTCGTTAAATTGCCTCTGGATCAGCCAATTGGTGTAAGGCTCGCTGTACGCGAGGATAAACACAGTGCAGGGCTGGCCAGCTCAGCAGCTACTCGGGGCACAGGGGTGGGCCGTGTGCACACCTTTAATCACGCACGCCAAACCGGATTGCTCAGGGACGCTGACGTCAAGTGACAATCAAGGGGAATTGGGAAAGGGGTAGATTCCAAGTGATAGGTTTGAGTAAGATCCCATGCTGTAAACAGACCCAACAGATGATATTATTTTTATTTTGATTAGTTAGATGTACTGCCATTGACATCTGACAGACAGCATAGTTTAGAACTGATTCTATTCATTGTGCTTTCTGTTTGCGAGCTAGTCAAAGTAGAATAGTATCATTTGTAGGAATCTGAATTTACCTGTTGAACCCAAATGTATCTACTCCGAAAAAGTCACCAATTAATTATTTATTTATTTTAAATTGGTCTGGGCATTATGCTGTGGTAGGCACCTAGAGTAGCCTAGTGCAGATTGTGCTCAGTTCCGTAGCTTATAAGCGAGAGGGAAGAACAACAACCGGACGACCGGCTCTTGCGATCGGCTAGACGCCCGATTGCCCATTTGGCATTAGGACCAGAGGGCGACAAACATTTGTTCCGCCAACTTAGGGAAAGGCAGCAGCAGCAGAGGAGAGCTAGAGCAGCAGAGGCTAGCAGGGAGCTCGTAAGCGAAACCGCAACTTCGGCAGCCATGGCCACTTCTGCACAGCAGACTTCTCAGGCTGGTAGTTCAAGATCTGTAGGGTCAACGGTCGCACAGACCCAGAGTCAGTTCGTTGGCGTTATGGCAAGCCAGCCATTGGTGTTGTCACCCGAGGAGATCGCCATACAACAGGCTGCCCTGCAAAAGGCACAACTACAGAAGGCTTTAGGAGAGATTAAGGCAGAGAAAGACAGACTGATTAGGAGAAGAGCCAGGTTGCAACGGCGACAAGCGGACATTAGTGAGTTAGAGGAGATGGACCAAGCGGAGTTGGATGATCCGGTGAGGGCCCTGAGGTCGATCTTGTTAGGAGTAATAGAGATGCAAGACCAGCAGACAGCTATCTTGCAGGACATCCAGCATAGTCTGGCCGTCTTGGTCAGACGAGCGCAGGCGGCACCACCACCGTCCGGGCCAAGTGCCTGGCCCGTTGAAAATCCTCCTCCTTTTGCTCCACCGGTGACTGGGGTATCCCCATATACCGCTCCAGTATCGGTTCAGCCTGTCTCCCTGGGGATACCGTTAACAGGTGGGCTTTCAGCAGGTCTTAGTTTGCAGGTTCCTGTACAGACACTGTTCACCCAAACTGTGTCGCAGGTTGCAGTAAGTGTGCAGCCTGCTGTCTCGCAGTCTGCACAGCCGCAGGGTACACAACCCCAGCAGTCAGTGCAGCAGCCTGCACCACTGGGTCCACAGCCCGGAGTGATGCAGGGACCGGGACAAAGTCAGTGGGTACCAAAGACGGCCATCGCCGCTCCTAAACCCTTCACAGGGGATAAGAGGGGCGAAGACCTCGACACTTGGTTGAGGGCAGTGCCGGTTTATGTCAAGTGCAAACTTACCTTGCCGCACGAGGAAGTGCTTGCGGTTGCCTCCTATTTAGCACAAGCGGTTAACAAGGACCCCCACTTTTCGGCCCTAGGTAACAATGGATGATCCTGAATGATCCTGAATTTAGGGTTTTTTTGTGTTTTTTTGGAAATTTTCTTTTTGCCTGTTTTTTTATTTGGACAAGCTTTCTGTGTGAAGAGTGGTGAAAAATGTGAAAATGTGATGACGGTTTTTTTGCCAAAATGTCATGAAAATGCACTTTTGGCTTGCTGTTTTTGTTTTTTTGTTTTGTTTTTATAATATGTTAGTAAGAAGTGCACTCTATACATCGGTGTGAAATTTGTTTAAAATGGCCTTATGGTTTTCTTACAAATTGAGGCGAAAATTGGGGGGTCGGTTAACCTTTTCTCCTATTTAGAGGGGAGTGCAACACGATGGTTGAGTGGTTTAGTGCAGCTACAGGGGTACGGACATGACTTTCGCGCTTGGGTGGTCACCCAGAAACTGGATGACTTTCTCAAGTTGGTGGAAGACAGGTGGCACGATCCTCGGGAGGCCCAAAAGGACACTGACGTGATCCTGACACTGCACACGAGGCAGCTCAAGTCAGTAAGGGACGCCACTGACGTTGTAGAGCGTCCGATCTGTGTCCCTGGGGTTCGCTTTGACCCCCAGGTCTTACTCACCTCCTACCTGAGATGCTTTCCCATGCCTCTCAGGAGTCAGTTGGCAGGTGAGGCCAACATCAATATGCACAACTTTCCCTCGTTCAGCAAGAAGGCCCTAGACCTAGAGGCGAAGATAGGGCATGGACATAACCCCACGACGGATGGAAGGAAGAAGACACTGCCTCCCAACTGGAAGGCGAAGGGTCGCATTATGTTTGTTGATAACGATGGTTCAACCATCGAGTTAGATGACAACTTTTAGGAGGGAGTAGGTTCAGAGGTTGGCAGCGTAGAAGCTTCAGGGGGTGGAGTAGTCGCTGCCGTAGCGGAGAAAGGTAAGGCGACCAGTAGACGCCGTGGAGGTTCCCGGTCAAGGAGTCAAGTTGACCCCAATGCTCCGTCATGGGAGAAAGCGGGTCTCACTGTGGACGTGTGGAGAGATCGGTACACACGGTAGGCTAGTATCCGTTGTGACCAATATGGCCATAACCAATTCAAGCGCCAAAACAAGAAGATGATCGAGAAGATCCCGCCTACGATGGGGCAGGCGTTGGGATCCTCCACTCCCGTTGGTAGCAATGTGGCTAGCACTTCTGGCACTGCTCGAGAAACACATCGGGCTAATAGGGATAGTAGTTGTTCCTGCTAGGGTCGAGGTGGTGGACACACCCTCACCATCTCGGGAGATGGCCCAAGTTACTGACTCCATCGTCGTCCCGCAAACACATTCAGACCCATCGAGCCTCTGTTCGATGAATGTGTTTGAGTCCTTAGAGGAGCTAGAGGAGGAGTGGTCTAAAACAGACCCGCTAGCTTCTTGGACGACATTGGTCAAAGCCCCTAAGGGTGAGATGTTCGCCAGCGAGGTAGTCATCGGCGGCCGCAAGGCCGGGGCCTATTATGACACTTTCTCGACGCGGAATTTCATTAGTCGCGCGTGCGTTGAGAGGTTGCGCTTACAGGGGCAAGTGCAGCGCCTGAGTCGATCTGTGGAGTCGACCTGTGCCAACAAACAACGTATGGTAGTCAACGACTACCTCCAAGATGTTGAGTGTTGTTTCCCGTACGAGGGAGGGGAATTGAGACATTGTGTCTCGTTCCTAGTGAGCGATGAACTCCCCATGGATATATTGTTAGGTATGTACTACCTCTCTGTGGCACAACCCTAGTTTGATTGGGACCAAAAAGTGGTCAAACACACTTTGCCAGGTGGAGGGACCGCCAAATTACATAAGTTCAAAGCTAGTAGTCTGATTGAGTCCCATGGATGCATGTGTGCGGCCGCGTTCTATAATTACTATAAGCAAAATCAGGAGGAGGGTATGTATCTAGTTTATGTCTCTGCTGCAGGCGAGCCGGTGAAAATGTCGTCGGAGATAGAGGGAGTAGTTCCTAAATACCCCGATCTATTTGAAGAGCCGACAGGGGTTGTGGAGAGGGAGGTCGTCCACGCGATAGAGATTATCCCAGGGTCTAGCATCCCGAAGGGTAGGATCTATCGGATGTCTCCAAGCGAGCTTGACGAGCTTCACCGGTAACTCAAGGAACTCGTAGAAAAGGGTTGGATCCGGCCGAGTGTTTCTCCTTATGGGTCTCCCAGTCCTATTTGTACCCAAGAAGAAGGAAGGAACACTTAGGATGTGCATTAACTATAGGGGCCTCAATGCCATCACTGTTAAGAACAGAGAGCCCCTACCGCGCATCGATGACTTGCTAGATAGAGTGCAAGGGTGTCGGTACTTCAGTAAGATAGATCTGAAGTCCGGGTACCATCAGATTGCAATCCGGCCCGAGGATCAACACAAAACCGCTTTTCAGACCAGGTACGGTCTGTACGAGTTTGTGGTGATGCCTTTCGGCCTTTGCAATGCTCCTGACACCTTTCAGCACGCTATGAATCGGATATTTCATGACTACCTGAATAAGTTTGTCATCGTGTACCTCGATGACATACTTATTTTTAGTAAGACTGTCGAGGAGCACGTTGCTCACTTGGATAAAGTCATGACTCTTCTGCGACAGCACAAGTTCAAGATCAACGGTGAGAAGCGCGAGTTTGGCCGCACCCGTATCTTGTACTTGAGTCATGAGATTTCCTCGGAGGGATTAAAGCCCGATGACGCGAAGGTGGCCAACATTCGTGACTGGCCGCGTCCTCAGTCTGTGACTTTCTTAGGGATGACCGGCTACTATTGCAATTTCGTGAAGAACTATAGCATAGTTGCCGCCCCTTTGACTGACCTGACTCGCCTTGACACCCCATGGGAGTGGACAGACAGATGCGAGGCTGCTTTCAGACATTTGAAGCATGCGTTGACGCATCATGAGGTCTTGAAACTTCCTGATCCTGATAAGCCATTTGTAGTAACTACAAATGCTAGCCAATATGGCATAGGCGCCGTACTTGCACAGCAGGAGGGGAAGAAGTTGAGGCCGGTAGAGTACATGTCCAAAAAGATGCCCTCTCAGAAGTTGGCTAAATCCACCTATGAGAAGGAGCTATATGCGATCTACAAGGCGCTCACCCATTGGAGACACTGTCTCTTTGGGAGGTTCTTCTACGTCAGGACTGATCACCGGACCCTGAAGTGGATGAGAACCCAGCCTGTGCTCTCTGACACTTTGAAGCGTTGGATTGAAGTCATAGAGCAGTATGACTTTGAGCCCCAAGTACATTAAGGGCGAGTACAACAAGGTTGCTGATGCGCTGTCGTGTAGACCAGATTTCTCTGGTGCGCTGATCACTGAGGTTGGGCTTGCGGACAATGTTACTCAGTCTACGGTGGAAGCCTATCGCGAGGACCAGTTTATGTCTGAGATCATACGCAGACTCGAGGCAAAGGACAAAGCAACTTCTGCCGAGTTTGAGTTGGTCAACGGGTTGTTGTTCCTTGAGAAGGCAGGGAATAAACATTTGTGTGTGCCAGATAGAGAGTCTTTGCGTAGTTTATTTTTAGGTGAGCGTCATGATGCCACATGACATTTTGGTTTCAAAAAGACTGCAGCCAATTTGCTGCAGCGGTTCTGGTGGCCCACGATGTGAGAGATGCGAAGCTGTACATGGAAACTTGTCAGGTCTGTCAGAGGGACAAGCCACGTACACAGGCTCCTCTTGGGCTTTTGAAGCCCCTTCCGATTCCGGAAAGGCCTGGTGAAAGCCTGTCCATGGACTTCATGGATACGCTGGTCACCAGCAAGAGCGGGATGAGACACATCTTTGTTTTGTTTTTTTTTTTTGTTTTTTTTTTTTTTTTGAAAGAAACACCCCAAGTAGTTGCTAGTGATGTTGATAAGAGAAGACACCACTAGCAAACTGGGGGAGGCTCCATCTATTGGTGGGGAGCATCACCTGCTGGAAAACAGGTCCAGCGTCCCTAAAAACAATCAAATGTCACATCTTTGTTATCGTAGATAGGTTTAGTAAGTACGCTAGGTTAGTTGCAATGTCGGAGACAGCGAAGACTAAGCATGTGATTAAGATGTTCAAAGAGAACCGGGTTAGAGATTTTGGATTGCCAAAGTCTATAGTCAGTGACCGTGATGTGCGATTCACAAGTGAACTATGGAAAGCCGCAGCTGCATATGACATCAGGAAACCATCTCGAGGCGAATGGACAAGTAGAATAGTTGAACCGCGCTGTACAACACCTGCTAAGGCATTACATCAAGCCAAATCAGGTAGACTGAGATGAGAAACTTGCTCTCATTGCCAGCCTAAACAACAACGCGGTCCACTGCGCAGTGGGAGTGAGCCCGAATAGTCTGCTATTAACCTTTAGACCTAGACTGCCCTTGGATTTCTTACTACCTGAGAACCAGCCCTCTGTTGCACCAAGGACTTTAGAGTTTGCTTATCGATATGAGCAATTGATGCAGCAGGCTGTTGAGCAGATGCACAAGGCACAATCGGCGATGATAGAGTCTGAGAACAAACACCACCGCCCGTCCACTCTCCAGGTAGGCGAGAGAGTATGGTCAAGTCCTCAGAACTGGGACAGGAGCACGGGATCTCCCGCATGCTCATGCCACAGTACTTTGGACCATTGGAGATTTTGGATGTTGTCGAGGACGAACCGGATGGGCCCTGTTATGTTATTCGCATCCCTGGTCACTTACGTACTTACCCTGTTTTTCACTCTTCTAAGCTTGCACCATTCAAAGAAACTGACCAGTTTCCTTTTCGTCGCTCTATGCTGCCCCCAACCATGGATGGAGAGGTCGACATCGACGACATCGTTGATCAAAGAGAGATGCCAGTTCCAAGACCAACTGGCAAAGGACGTCCTCCAAAACCGAAGCTGCAGTACCGAGTTCAGTTCAGACATCACGCTGATCCCAGGGAGGACAGATGGTTCACAAGGGAGGAGCTGATGCAGACCGCTCCACAGGTAGTCGCTCACTATGAGAAGTCTCTACGGAAAGGCAAGCGCCAGATTATTGAAGATTGAACTTCTCAGACTAGCAAAGTATGGAGGAGGGAATGCGAGGCAAAGGCCTCGATATGCCCTAGTGGGCCCCTATTTGCAACAGTGTCGGCCGCCCTAAGTGAAGGCAGGCCCGACGAACCCTAAGAAGCCTATTTTGGACTACTTCGCAACTGGAGAAAATGCAGGCAGTTGCGCAACGCCAATTGGTTGGAAGCGCCCAGACCCTGATCTCCTTTATCAAATGCATCTGAGTCAGGCCCTGGGCGAGATTCGCAACATAGGCCCAACTCGGACTGTGGGTAGTTGGGCACAAGTAACTGTCGGTGGCCCTGAGGCCAATTCGTTTGGTCTGAGGCTCAGCCTCCCTGGGCCTACCGGAAGCTTCTGGGCCGAGGCCCAGCACAACCAGGCTGCACGCGCGCAGGCTGGCCATTTCCATATAGGAAAGGGCCAGCCCACGCTTTGGGAATTCGGGTGCTGGCTGCATGCTGCGCAAGCACTGCTGCGCTGAAGCTGGCTGGCACTCACGTGCTCACGGGCGAGCTGGAAGGCGCAGGCAGCCATAGCCAAGTTGCGATGCTGTAGGCTGGGTGTGGCGCAGGGTGGTCCTTGGGTGCCTGTGGCATTTGTGTGTTGGGGAACGAGGTTGTGAGTGATGCGAGAGACATACCTGGTGCTGGAAGCGTGCGGCATTGGCCGCTATGTGCTCGTACTTCGGGAGAGTTGTTGTCGTCATCTTCGACATTGTAATCTAGGCGAGATAGGATCTGCCATCTGTAGTCTGGGCGCCGAACGCCAGATAGGATATCAACATTGGTTCTTCGTTGATGATGATGATGAGACTATTCCAGCATTGTCAATTATGAGCTTCTGGTGTACTCTTATTTGGTGAAACTCGTGATGCAATTCTGCTTTTGGTTCGAGGTCACGACTATCTGGTCTTATGTGTATGATGCTGTTTGATTGCTGAAGTTCGTTATTGCTCATCTTCCTTGCACCTGTTGCGTCATGATATTCTCCTAAAAATAAACTATGCAAAGACTCTTTACTTGAGACACATAACTGTTTATTGTCGTCCTTGTCAAGGAAGAGCAGACCGTCAACCATCACAAACTCATCAGACACGACCTTATCTTGCGCTTCGAGTCTACAATTGACTTCGTCCATGAACATGTCCTCCTCGCAGGCCACCAAATGTCAAGATACACCATCCGATAAGCAGTACCCCATCACTAGCGCACCTAGGAAATTCGTCGTCCTGGAAAGCACATCAGCGACCACATTATACTTCCCGTTGACGTGCTAGAGACTGAAGTCATACATATCGATGATTATCCAACGCTTCAGCGCATGGGAAAGTGTGGGCTGTCTTGATCCATTGGAGCGCCTCATGGTCAGACCGGGCTTCAAAATGTCTGCCATGGAGGTAATGCTTCCAATGGGTCAATGCCTAATAAAGGGCATACAACTCCCTCTTGTAGGTGGAGATGGCTAGTTTCTTAGACGGCATCTTTTTACTTATATACTCAACCAGCCTCAACTTTTTCCCCTCCTGTTGCTGTAGGACAACACCTATCCCATACTGGCTAGCGTCAATCGTGACGATGAATGGCTTATTAGGATCTTCGTGATGAGTTGCAATTTACTTCAACCTTTTGAAGACATGCTCACATTCAGATGTCCATTCCCAAGGGGTGTCAAGACGCGTCAGTTTAGTCAAGGGGGTTGTTGTAATTCTTCACAAATGGATGACAGTAGCTGGTCATCCCCAAGACTGATCTGACCTCGGTCACAAACCGAGGTCATGGTTAGTTCCCAATGGCGGCCACCTTCGCATCTCCTGGCCTCAGTCCATCCTCAGATATTTCATGACCCAGGTACATGATTCTAATGTGTCCAAGCTCGCATTTCTCTAGACTGAGCTTGTACTTCTGCTTCCAAAGAAGGCCAATCACGATATCTAAGTGTTGCACGTGCTCCTAGAGGGCTACAAAAGACAAGTATATTGTCAAGGTACATGATGATAAACTTATCTAAGTAGTCGTGAAAAATCCTATTCATGGTGTGCTGGAACGTACCGGCTGGATTACATAGCCCAAAGGGCATAACCACAAACTCGTGAAAAACGTACCGAGTTTAAGAAATGATTTTGTGTTGATCCTCTAGCCTACTTAGTATCTGATGATACCGGGATTTCAGATCTATCTTCGTGAAGTACCTATATCCTTGCACCCTACCCAAAAGGTCATTGATGTGTCGTAGGGGCTCTGTGTTCTTCAATGTGATGGGATTGAGGGCCCTAAAATCAATGCACATCGTTAGCGTCCCCCCTTTCTTTGGAACAAACGTAACCAGCGCACCGTTGGGAGACAAACGCACTTGGTCGTATCCATGCCTTCTCACTCCGTTGGGGGCATCCTATAGATCCTACCCCTAGGCACCTTACTACCCCCGATAATCTTTACTGCATGGACAGCTTCCCTGTCCACGACTCATGAGGGTTCCTCCTAAGGGCCTAAATACTTAGCGACGACTTGCTCTAACGACTCACAAGGGCTCCTCCTAAAGGCCTAAATACTTAGCGACGACTTGCTCTATCTCTAAAGGGGTCTTGATGGCCTGCCCCTTCTGAGATACGAAGACTAGGTACATTCCCCCTCTCGATTCTGCTTATAATAATTGTAGAATGCTTGAGCGCACAAACAGCGGTAAGAGTCTGCCAACTTATGAGAACTATACTTCTTCAAAAGGATTGTCCTACCCTTAGGCAGTTGGTACTTCGTCTTTCTATCCCTGTCGAACTGGGGCTTTGCAACCTTGAGGTATTACATCCCTAGTATCATATCGGAAGGGAGCTTGTCGCTTTCACCCTCCCACATACGAGGAGGTACACATTGCGTTCTTCACGCAGTCCTTCACCACGACCTGCTACTTGTTAGCTAAGGCAGATACTACAGGTCTACTTATCTGCTGCACCTGGCCCCCTAAGTGCAACCTATCTACACAAGCGCTATTAAAATGCTTCAGGGTAGAGCCAATGTATTCCAAGGCCCCTGCCTTACACCCGCTGTCCGTGAGAATACCCTTACAAGGGTGTCCGCCCCTGTTTTTGCAAGTGACAAAAAAGAAGCGTTGACTTGAAAATTGAATGCACCTTGCGCAGTAGTGTTTGTTTTACATTAATAAAATATCTCTAATACTATAAAGGAAGGAGCAGGTCTCGCGTGACGCTCCCAGCAGGACCAGCGAAACTCGGGCAGGGAGAGCGCGGTGCCGCAGGGGACCGAGGAGGGCGCGCCGGTCGGGGAGGCCGGTAGCTGGG